GATGACGAGTATCAAACTCACTTCCAGAAAGTACATTTACTCGTGCATATTTTTAAATGGGTAATTCTACTGATACGCTCTCGCACATACGTACAAGAACACCCAGTTGAGTATTCCTAAACTATTTTTACTTATAACTTGATATATACACTTGTCTTATTAGTAAATAACAATCGTGGATTTGTTAAATGAATATGTGAGCGTTACAAATTTTAGGTTTATTTTCGATGCATGAGTATCCTGAACTCGCAATTACATTGAAAATATAAATATACTTAGCCGTTGTTTAATATAATTATAAATGAACCGTAATAGGCAAAACAATTTTTAATTCGCTAATTTTTTTTTTAAACTCAATTCATAATTTTATACACACACACAAACATACACGCATGTTCACGCATATATATATATATATATATATATACTTGTTTTACGATCGACAACAAATTTTATAATGTTGTCATATAAGAGTATAAATCATCATAGAAGAGTAAGTTTTATGATTTTTTTTCTTCGCGATCTTAAGCTAAATATGTTATACGTAAAATGACAATGAAAATAATTGAAGTAGTTGTTCATATTGTAATTAATATGTTAATTCATCTTGTAAAAGATTACTTCTTGTTGAGTTCAAGCGTACACAAAGAATTTCTTTTTCTAATTCTAACCATAAAGTCGCAATAAATGCACATTTAATTCTCGATATGTATTTCAATAATTACTCAGATAATTTAATTTGGATTTTTGCATAATTTGGGATAAAATGATGTAGATTCTGTATTGGAAATATCATTCCTAATGGTTCTTCACATTCATTTAAGCATTAATTTTTAACTTTAATCTTTATCATATTTAACTCATATTTATTACAATTATACGTATTTCATTATATCACTTATTTCAATTTCGAATTTTTTGAAGATAACGCAAATATCTTATTTAAAAGTCTGTGGAGATTAAAACTAGCCTTAATTAATTTTTAGAGCTTACTGACGCATTGATATTGGTTCGATTTATATTTTTGTTTTTTATGATAAAATAATAATTGACAAATAAGGGAACTTATGTTATCATATCATTTGTGTTTATTTATGTAGATTATTAATGATTTATTTTCTTATTTTATGATAAGAAAATTATCGTATAATGTTAATGTTATTGTTACTTGTTTCTTGTTTATTTTTTTATTTATATAGAAAACAATAATTGATTTCATTAATTATATTTGACATTTTAATTTGAATTTATAAAACTAATATAATTATAAGAAATATTTTCATTATAAATTTTAACTATTGTATTGTTTAAAGTTTTCTTTAAAATTTAATTTTACTTATGTCTATAAATATTACAGAAATAAATAACTTAAAAATAACATTTAACGCAAATTGTATGCAAATATTGTTAATATTTTGTGGTAGATCATTTCTATTCAATACAAATTACTGCTATTGAATTTGAAATATTATTTTAAAAAGACATTTTCTTTAAAAGAATTATTTAGTTTTAAATATATCTTTACGCAATATATTATTTAAAAATATTTTTAAATAAAAACGTCACTATGTTAATGATTACTTTAATTAGAATATTATTGTTAAAAAAAAAAGTATTTCCATATTGTTGATTATATATTAATAAAATAACACTATATTTAAAAATCTTAAAAGTAAAAATTAAAAGAGTTGGTTATAAGAATATAATAAGCATTATAAGATATATTACCAACTTCATGTGTAAGCAGGCCTATTTGCCATAATAACGAATTATTCTCACGGAATTTAATAGAAAATAAAACAGCATACCGGGATACGCATTGTCTAGATAATATATGGATGAGGATTATGTACTTCAAACAACACTGTAAAGTAAACCTTTCTCATATAAGAGTCTGGTATCATTTTTTGCAATGCTCATATTTTTTTTAGCTTCTTTTACTTTGTTGAAGAAAAGCGTAACTTGCTTTGTTCTGAACTAGGCGAGCGGCGGAGGATTTTACTTTCTGAGATTTGCTGTTTCAAATAAGACATCCTTTTTATTAATCAAGTAATTTATAATAATTGTTACTCAATTTAATAATATTAAACGATTGATTAGTACATTAGAGCCTAGAGAATAAATCGCAATTGAAATTTCTTTATTATGAATATACTTGGCGTCTTAGTTGAAAGTTCTGTTTCCGCGCATTTTTATCATTTTCTTTGATATTACCGAAGTTATAATCATTTGCATGATATATATATAAGCTGTTTATTTATTTTGGTACAAGACTGATTCTATTCGTTATTATTGATAAAATGAATTTTTATTTTAGGATTAGATATTCACAATTAATTTATGTTTTATTAACATATATACAATAATTTTTAACAATGTTTTTAGATTATGATGCATAATAATTGTTAAATTTAAATTATTTTCTAAATATTATCTAATGGATTAATAGATAAGAACACGTAACGGAAATTTGTAAGAGTCTAAGACATCAATGTGTTTCTAAATGATAAATGTCAGTAAGTTAACCTTGATTTTATAATAATATAATAAAAAATATTTTCAATTGCCTTTTTATTGCGTTTTACGTATTAATCCATAACATTCCTAAACATAGAAAGATATAGGTTTGATTTCTAATCCAAGCACTCCAAACCTCACTGGAAAATGAAATAACATATTTTTTATATAATTTATTAAAAGGAAAATTTTCGTTTTTAAATTTTATATCATTAATATGAATACTATGCTTTATTCCATTTTACATTGTTTTTTTTTAATTGAAATATTTTTATGACTATTTCGAAATCATATAAAAAATTTTATTTTATTGTAAGTGTTTATAATTTTAACGTTAATTTGTTATCTGAATTTTTTCAAGGTTTATAGAACAGTTGAACATTTTATTCAATAATGCAAATTCATTTTTAAATATATATATTCAACTGAATTTTAACTTTGCCCTATAAAATATTTGAGCTTCGAAAAGCGTTCTTCGAAATATTTATTTCTTTGATGTTTAATATATTTTAGCATTATTAAATTTTGAAATACATAAAATAAAAATTATTTCATATTTTAATTTTATTTTGGATACTATACGCATAAATTATAAGAATAAAATAAAAAAGTGTGAAACGGTAGTGGTTCACAAATTGATAAGCTTTATTGTAATGTTTTAGTTCTAGGTATACGATAATTTTATATTTATTTATTAAATAAATTTTATACTAATTTTATATTAATTAAATAATATACTTAACAAAATAAAGAACTATATTTTTGTAACTATGTTTCAATCATAATAATAATTTTATTATTATTTTATTATTAACAATTTATGTCCTTCATTTTAAAGTTGATTAAAACAAGCACATTTTTATTTATACTATTTTAATTATTTATTATTACAACAAGCGACGTGTGTGTTGGTTACTCATGACATAATTTGAAAAGGATTCGGCGATGTCTCAAATATATGGTTATAAAAATTAATAAAAAATAAAATAAAAATTTTAAATTTTGCTAGCAGAAGAAAAATCTTCTAATGTGAATTGTAATTAAATAATTTTTAAGATCTTGTAAATATATTTTTATTGTTTTGATATCTTGTTTAAAGCACTTGTGGTGACTTCTTTTGAAGGCATTATATTAATTTTTTTTAATGGATTATTATTTAACAAAAAAAGAATATATTTAGCTAGGAACTTAATATAATTTAATAATATATGATTCTTAAACTAAAATCACTAAATATATATTTAGTATATGAATATTCTAAAAACATATATTATTTACAAGTATTTGTGATTAAATCTTTATAACATGATAACAATTTTATTTAACTGTTTATGAATGTTTCAATCGACAAATCTTTATTAAACTATGCATGTGCTTAATCATATGATAGTATAAAAACAAGTCAAACAAAGAATGAAAAAATTAATTAAATTCGCTCGTTTAATAAATCTTTGAAAATTTAAACGAAGTAATTAGTCATAAAAATTTATAATGCAAATATATGTTTGATTAGATTGCGTGCAAATATGTAGGGTATAAATATATTTGTATTACCAATATGATCTTAAATTTTTCAGATTCAAGATACAATCTATTAAATTTATCTATTTAATTTATTTTAGTTCCAAAATGTTAATATAAATAAGAATTTCATATTAAAAATATTAATGATAATAATATTACTAAATATTTTTCATTAATTATTAATTTTAATGTAGAATTCATATTGTTCTTGTATAATTCCATTACAGGAATTATATAAATTAATTATAGTAATTATATAAATATTTTCATTTGATGAGCAAATAAGGTTTGATTCTATTTTTAAATTTTGTAAGTCGTAATTAATAAAATTCAATATTATCGCGATCTTAGTCATCAAATACGTTGAGTTGAACTTATGAATAAAAAATTCGGAATATAGTGCAGCTATATTAATAATTTATAATAGCTCATAACCAGGCAAAAAAAAAAATTGTTAATAATATTTAAAGAATTCACGTTTTTTGCGTTAATTTCTTATATTCATATATATTTTGTTAAAGTAGAGCAAATAAAAGTATAAATTAATAAACTTGTAGAATAATACTGTATTCTCGAAGATATACTCAATAAAATAAGAATTGCTTTTGTATTATTTTTTATATTTTTGTATATGTGGATTTTGATTTGCAAGATCAACAGTCATAACGAAGCTACAGATAACTATGGTAAGTATAATAAGCTAAAAAATAGATGAAAATAAATACTGAAAGTTACGAATTAATGCAGCAATAATTTGCGATAATTACGACTTTTATCTAATTTAATCTCATATATTTCTTTATTCTCTTTAACAATTTATTAATTAAAAGAAAAGCGTATTGATATACAATATTTTTCCATAACATTTTGTATTCTTTTATATGAATATTAAAGTTAAATACCTTTTTTGAGAAAATTCGTTTCTTACGCCAGTAACGATACTTTTCTATGTGTTTCAGGATGTCGATCAAGACAAAAACTCGGATTGGATATACGAGTGGAATATCAAGCCGGAACAAATTGGACTCAAGTAAGAAGTAATTTTTATTATTTAAATGTAAAAAATTGTCCTTGAATTGTTTGATGATCGACATCTTTATGAGTAAGACTATGTAACAATTTTCCATAAATCAATTCATCAAGAATAAAACACTGCGCTAAAAATTGGGAAGAAGCATGATTACAAATATCACAGTCGTCTTCCATTTGTATGAAATTCTTCATGAAAAAGGGATCACCTAAGCAGAGTACTACCCTTTCCAATAATGACAATGCTTTTCGTTCGGCCTGCTTCCAATAACGTCTCGGATTTTCTATAATGAAACGCCTTTCGCTTTAGATTCTGTGCTGTATAAGCGCGTATCCAAATACCTCCCGACATTCTGTCCCGTATTTCAGAGTGTGAGTGTCATCCAAAGTAGCCACGATTACTTGCGCAGCTTTATCTGACGCGGACCCCTCTGAACTTACGCATCGAAAATAGGATAGGTAGCAGTAAGTGCCGTATTATTAAAAAGTTGTTCTCATGTTTAGAAGCGCGTGGAGTGTCATTGACAATATCATCTTTTGGAGTCCCTGGAAGCTAAAATTGGAGCGCGAATAAAATGCTAGATCTCGTTACTTGGCTTTTACCAGTGGAATTCGTATGTGCGCGATCGAATATTTTTAGGCATCGGTGTTATTAATAAGTGAGCCGGATTCTCGAGCATAATTCATAATTTTAAAGATTAGAGGCATTATTTAACGTTCCTCGTGATACGTCCTCACATTCATATGTTTACGTATTTGATTTATTTACTTTATGAATTGAATTTTTATAATACTTTAAACTTTATATAAAAAAAGTTTAAGCAATGTAGTCGGTTATTAATAAAAGAATATGTAAATACATTAGATTTTCAGTATCGCAAGAAAATCGTATACGGAATACTTTACTATAAACCAATCCAAATTTTGCTTAGAAAAGCTATAGATTTTTCGTTTATATTATGGTTTATAGATTCTTTTATTATGATTTTATTATGATTACAAAGTATTAACATGCAGTAGTAACAATAATTACGTACTATATATTTTTCATTTTTTACATGTATAGTAAAGTAGAGTAAATTAAAATATGAAATATATTTATATATATATATATATATATATATATGTATCCAATAAAATGAAGGCATAATAAAATATTTAAAATTCAATGTGATTATTAATATATACGTACAGACAGTATTACTCTAAAGTTATTTAGGCTTTTTAATTATATGTTTCAAAATTGATAAAAATTACGTATATCATATAAATTATTAATAATAATGCATGAACATGTTGAAAGTCTGCGTTTTTTCTAAAATATTTTTAAACTTAATTAATTTAAACTATTTATGAATAATGAATGAAATATTATTTGTAATAATCAAAACGAAAAAATGGACAGAGTTTTCGGTAACCAGTAGACATTTAAATTAACCAGAACATCAATAGATCTATACGGGTTTTCAATAATAATATGGGGAAAGTGGATGTCATAATTTTTAACCAGATTTTACTTTAGTCCTAACGTTATTTTCGTTTGCTAGTGCTTACTTAACTAAGGAACTCTTGTGCCATCACTAATCTGTTTACTGGACAAGTATTTTAATCATCGACTATCATAATTCTGAACTATGCATTTACAGACTGTATAAAATTGTATTACATTTCATAAAGTAACATCAAGCACAAAAATGGGTCATCGAGACAATTGCAAATTGTATAATCGAATTTAATTATGTAGAATAAATCACTGTTCCGTTTTCACTTGATTTATTAACTTATTTCTTATATGTATGTATATATATATATATATATATATATAGAGACTGGAAGTTGAAGCACAAATTGGGAATGGGTAGACGGAAAACGTACAGCATCAGGACTGCAAAGGTTGGCAAGAATGGCCTCTTTTCTAAAGAGGTGCTCTACACGCTTTTCTTGACGAACATACTCTCACTCCTCATTGGGACTGGTATTGGGTGAGTTTCATTATTTAAACTATTCAAATTAAGTTATCTTAACAATCAAATAAAAAATTGGACTTTGTAAATCAAGATTTATAGGAAAAAATGATAGTTATAATTACGATCCTACAAAATCGATAAAATCCAATGTTTAATTTCTAATGGAAAATCTATGGGATGAATATTTAATTGAAAAATTTTCTAATTAATAATACATTTTCAAATAACAATCGAATTCTTTATTCAAACGAATTCTTTTGTAAATAGAGATTGAATAATCGCAATGAAATAATAAGAGTGTTAAATGTATCATAATATAATCATAGATATTTTTAAATTTAAATACATATAATAATTATGTTAATTATTATTGGTTTAATAATAAGAGAAATTATGTTACATTTGATTACCTCTACCTGTAATAATTGTTATTTAACAATGTTTTGCTTAATTTGTATTTTAATCCCTCAAGTATTATTTAAAAATTTCAACTGTCAGTATGATTTCTACAAATTAATTTTTACTTACTACATTGGAATAAATTGTAATGTCTGCTATAATCATTACTGATCTCCTTTATTTTGTTATTTAACAGTAATTGCCGTTCGTCGTATAGTTATTTAAGCTAAAAAAAGTTTTGATATTTATATTCAATACGTGTGAAAATATTGATTTACCAAAATCTTTATTACAGAGTGTGGTTGACTAGGCGAGGATTGATGGTTTCGCGTGTTACCATCGAATGAAATCAAGAGCCTGCTCTAGAAAGAGCGCGTATCAGCGAAAGAAACAGAGGGGATTGATCGTCTTGGAGATTCGGAAATACAGGCAGGATAAAACGACCACATCATATTTATATATTAATACGAAAGACTGTGCGATACGACAGAAAGCTACGATTTAATGTACTGACCTTCGATAAAATGTGCACGAAATTATTGAACACATAAATATGCATAATTATTAATTATAATTAATTTAACACACGCGGATATCCACCCAATTACTCAATAACCCATTTATACGCGCGCGCGCACACACACAGACAGACAGACAGACACAGACACACGACACAGACACACGACACACACAAAAAGCATCTGTGAATTCAATTTGATATACTAATACCATAGAAAACGAAGGATAAAAATTTATATACTATCCGTTATTTTGTTATTTCTCTTTTGCTACATTTTCATAAATTTAATGTCATACTCTTAAGCGCTAATGACTTAAGCATTTGTATAAGTTAATATTTAGTGAGAAAAATATGTATAAATAAGCAAATAAAAAATGATGTATGAAAAAAAAAAATAAGGAACAGAAAGAGTGAAGTCGTAAAGAAAGTAAAGAAAGATAGAGAGAGAATGGGAGTG